ATGTGAACTGTTTTTATTTCAGCGGGTCGGCGGGCGTTGTTCATCGTGATTGAGGCTGGATTACATCAACGGATCCATTTTTATTTATTTAATTTTTTTAAAATAAAGGACTTGTCAAAAACCGACTCTTGTTATTTTTTCCAATTTAAGGACTTTTTCAAAAAGTGTGGTGTGTTTATTTACTTTTAACCCTTTAGTGAATGAGTAGGGGTACAAGTTACTCATTCAAAAGGGGGGTTGGTGGCATCTGGGTGCCCCCTTAATTAAAGGGGTACCCCAATGCAAATACCCCCCCTGCAGACCCCCACAACCACTGGGTCAGGGTTGTGGGTAAGAGACCCTTATCCCCATCGGCGTAGGGATACCCTCCCAATGCTGAGGGCACGTGGCCTGGTTTGGCACGGTGTGGGGGGTGCTCGAATGTACCGTCCCCCCCTTTCCTGCCCTGCGGGCCTGTGCTCGGATGAGGGGTATGGTAGTAATTTGAAGGGGGAGCCCACATTCCCCCTCCCCCCCATTTTTGGGGGGTTGGGGTTGCCCCTTTAAAATTCCTACCAAACCTAAATGGCCTGGTATGACTTTTGAGGGAACCCCACGACTTTTTTTTTCTTTTTTTTTTCTCTTCTGTGAACTGTTTAAAAAAAAAAGTAATTTTCTTTTCTTTTGTCTGTCACTCTGCAACAAAAATTTTCGTTACAAACATTTGTACATACTATCCCTAATGAAAATTCGGATTTCATTATTGACTTTCAGAATTGACTTTCAGACCTGAATCCTGAAAAACTAATGAACGAAAAATCTGAATGAAAACGAAGCGAAACAAAACAAATGTTTTTGCCGGCGCACATGTCTACTAAAAAGGGATGTTATATTTTTTCAGAAAGGTTGTAGTGCATCTTAGTCTTAAATTCAAAGAGAGTGCTGCATCACCTGGGACTGCTGCCTGGGAATAACAGGCAACATTTTAATCCTCTTTGGGTCTATAACAGGCTAACATTTTAGTAAGTCTGAAGCAAAGGCCCGCTTCATCAATCTTTGCTTTGCTATTTCAGGTGTTGCTGTTGTATTTTAAACCATGAGGGAGTATTCATGCTACATTAACATTCCCTAACTTGCTGGAGAGTTAGGGTCCATTCACACCAGCAGGGCACATTACCGCATGGCCACTGGTGTGCTCTGCCAGGAAATGAAGCAACGTCCTGATTTCAGCACATTGTACTTTTTTTGGAGAGATGTATTGATTGTCACCAAGTAACAAGGCACACGCAATTTCTAGGCTTGGCGTGTTTGGTATCTATTTACTCAACACAATCTCATCGATATTTATTTTAAAAAGAGGAATTATAGGTTTGATACACAGTTGCACAAACATCATGTGAGATCAAACTTTGCAACTACTACCTTTTTATTGTACAGGTTCTCTGTATAACAATATAGTACACTCCATTCGGATCTCCACACAGCATGTCTGCATTTTTCTGCACTGCACCACCCATCACACCAGCGTTATAGTAAGAATGGGGCACATAGAAAACAATTGTTTTCCATGTGCACTAGAAGTGACCTGTGCAGAAACACACAAGTGACTGCACATAGTGTGAACCTAGTCCTAACGTTCACACCTTAAATATACCTCTAAATCTATTAGAATTGAAACAAAATGGCAGGGTGCCTACTTTCCTACTCCTTCAGTGCAGTATAATGTATACATCTAAGTAGAGTTGCACATAAACTCTCCATTAAAAACAATGCAATTACACAATCCACACAAAATGGAAATATGATATTAAATGTATTTCTTTGTTCCCTAGCAAAAGTGCATGCTGTGTGGAACTTTAAATTAATGTTTTACAATCATCTATAGCTCCCGACGTCTTTTACCTAAAATGTCTTAATTGTAGTAGGAAATATATACAGTACACATACATGTTTCAGCATGAAGACAGCTCTTGATGCTCTCAGTGTGCGAGATTTGCTAGAAGGTATCTTGGAGGTGAGAAGGCTCATTCTATGAGATCATCCTATAAGGTGCTGGTCACCCACTTGCAGTTTTTCCCGCTCTGTTCTGGGTTGTATAAATAATAATGAATGCTAATTAATTAATAAGTAAAGCTTTGACATGTCCAAAATTCAGACATAATGAATAAGGCATTGCCATGAGCAATAGCATGATATGCACAGCAGAAAAGTATGAATTCACATTTGTTCTTTGGCTTAATCACTAAACCTAAAATTGACAATATAATTGATTGGGTTCATTATTCACAGCCAACAGTGTTGCTCTGCTTAGAACTATTATGTAACCCACAACAACCAATTTCAATCAGTTTCCAGTAGACTTGTCATATAACCTGTAAATTTTGGGCACAGCCCCAGAATATATATTTTTCTCATTTTGGAACGAATAGGGAAATGTTAGAACCCCAGTTTGCTTTTTACTGCTTTGTTCCTATTGGGGAGATTTTGTTCAGTAATTTTTCTCCCCCCCC